TTCTAAGTTTAACATACACTTCAGTTTGTACTTCATTAATCAAAACGGTTATCAAAGTATTGATAGACGGTGATTCCTTATAAAAATGTTGATTAAAATTCGAATGGAATGACTCACAATTGTTGGTGGTTCGTCTTAAACTTGAACTTGCTGATGCCCAAAGTATAGATAAGATATATATATATATAAGATTTAATGATAGATCTGGTAGATTGTTGTTAATTGGTCGAGACTCGAGACCTGCCCCCCCCCTGCCAGAATGGAATAATATAGTTATTAATTCATAACTCATATGTAGGGTTCGGGACTTCTAGCATTTGCATGTTCTTTTGCAGTGGCCGTAGATTATTCTAGGTAAGTTATAAATTTGTTTTATGAAATGGCTAAATTAAATACCCATAGGTATAAAGTTTGAATTTGCATATTTCGCCATATTTTAGGAAAAGTGTATATTTGAGCAATTTTTAGTATATTAGTGCATATTTCATATTTTTTTATATTTTTGTGTAGGTACCGTCAACCCGGGTGACTTGGAACGATTTTCACCTTTTAACTACTGTAACTCATTCATTATTGATAATTAAATTCTGTAAAAAATCATGCAGTGTCGCACACCTCCAAGGAATAGATTGAGCAAAAAAAAAATTAAGGTCTTAAGTAAATTAAGGTAAAAAAAAAATAAAAAGTGCTTGTTCCAAGTCACCCGGATTTTTTGGTGACTTGGAACATGCGTTTTTTCAAATGCAGATTGCATTTAATCATATGTGGAAGGTCACTTGGAACGCTACAAATATTTAAAAAAAAAAAAAAAAGTGTTAAAAACCATTTTTTTTCGGTATAATTACCGAAATTTAATACCGTAAATTTCGGTACGTACGACTGCCAGGTATACATTTATAATAGTTCCAAGTGACCCACTTTTTTTACCTAAAATAAAAACAACCCTGAAAAATGTAAATAATATTATTTCCTAATTCTACTAAGCGATTAACACTAACAACACATTAGGAATTCACTAAAAAATAACAATACCTTGATTTTAGAAGCTCAAGTTACACTTTTAAAGCTCTTAAATTAGGATTTGAAAATTTGGATTTTTTTTACTAAATTATGGTTATATCACATGGCGTATTGATAAGAGATAACACATTTTCGATGATAACAAAACTTTTACAAAACTTTCCGAAAAATATTTTTGTGGAGACAGAATTTTATTTCCCTTATCTAGCATAAAATTAACCGCTGTTATCAAAAAATAACGCAATTGTTCCAAGTCACCTCCAAGTTCCAAGTCACCTGGGTTGACGGTACTAGGTACCTACGTAAAATTGCCGAGAAAAATCATATTAGGATAACATTCGAAAATATTCCTTAATATAAATTATCTTTGGGTAGGTAGCATAAGCGCAAAAAGCTTTTGAGATTTTGGGAGGCTGAAGCATATTATAATATTGAATAAGCTTAAAAAAAATTAGAAATTATTTTGGAAGGCTGTTAAAATTGATGGTGGAGGCTCGGCCCCCAAATCCCCACCTCCCTATTTTCGAGTATAGTAGGTAGGTACGTAAGATCTTATGAGTCTCTTTGTGACAAAACTGTGGTAAAATTAATCGACACCTAGATTCTAGATTGTACGATAAAATTAAAATCAGTGGATAGTGGATACCTATAAATTATAATTATGCGTGTTATTCATTTATCACGGTGTTCTCATACCACGTTATTCGTTATGGAAGTTACCCATTTCTGCCAAAAGTGTACCTTTCCCTTTTCCCCCAATTCTGTTTTCCGCCAAATCAAAAAAGTTAGTCTAATATTTAAATATTATATAATATACAATATGCATGTCAGTCATATTATAATATATTAATATAAATTATAATTTTATTTTTATTTCACATACCTAGTGTAAATTTAAATATTTTATTTTCTTGGACAAGGGGGGGGGGGCTGCAAAATAAAATAAATATTGTTTTACCAAGGTAATGCATGGGTAACATCTATAATTGGAGGGGAAGTAGACCTAACCTATACCTACTACTTACAATACTTATATAACATTAGCATTATTATGCCATTTCAAGTTGTATGATTGCTTTGAATATTTTTTTTAATAAAATCTATTATTTCATCTTTCATTCATGCCATTTAAGCAATATTTGACACCTAGACCAACACTAAATTGCCAGTTATAGATACTTACTAAAAACCCTAGGATGATGGAAAACAACCTATCATGGGCAACAAATTCTACTAATTTGATAGTTCTTACTTCAAAGTGTGGTTAATTACCTATATATACCAAAAATAACAATATAATTAATAATAAAAAAAAAAAAACGTTAATTGTTAAACAGCAACCAAAAAATTAAAAATATAAAAGAGATAAACGGAAAAAATCAAATAACGTTTGAAAGTACAATAACGATAAACATTAAAATTCTATAATGTTTAAATAGGTACCCGAAAATATAAAAACTGTATATTTATTTTAAATTTAAGCCCTGATCATAAATTTATTAAAAAAATTAAATATCTCTTCTAGGAGAATGAAGAATATTATATTTAACTCAGTTATATCTTAGCTTCTATGGGTAATTTACAAATATACAATATAAGAGAACAAAATAAATACTATAGGAAGTCCTTCATTTTTTAAAGTAATAATTTAAGTGTAAAAAACATAAAACAAATAATAACAGTAAAAACTTGAAAAATAGTTTTATTGCCTTTAATAAAAGTAGATAATTATAACAGTATAACACGCACACTTATTAGTCCTTACTCCATAGGCAGTTGGAGTGGTGATTTCCCCCGTAAATACGTCACCGTGTATAGTATATGTATACTATATACAATATACTATTAAAGTACTTAGACACATATAATGCTATGAGTTTTTATTTGATTGCATGACGTCAAATAATGTTAATACTAGGTACCCAACTACCAAGATTAAATAAATAATAAACTGTTTTATTTTAATTACCTTTTTTTTTTTGACCAGTTTTAACTTGTACTTAAATCAAGTTCTTCAAAAATGTCATTCTCAAATCAACTGAACACCACAGTCAACAAGTGTCCAGAAAGAGCAAGAAACAAAAGTTGTAAGATTCTAAACAAAAATGCAGTAAGAGTAACTTGTATATTATACATACACGATACACTATAGTATAAGATTTCTTAACCCGATTTCATCACATATATTTTGACAATTAATACTATTTTCTCGACTCACAAAACCAAAGAGTATTCAAGTTTTTGGAAATATTTTATTTTACATAATTTGAAGTCATAACAAATCGACATTTTTTAAGAAAAAAAACAAATTTTCTATTTTCATTGTTATTAATTTTCATGATTTTTTTTCTTTATGACGGACAGCATACATTTGAAACACATAAATATAAATATTTATTAGTACATAGCAAAATTCAATTTATTTATTATGATGCATAAGTATATATTTTAATTATTGGATCTTTTGACTTATAATACTCAAATACTCTGGTCCCGAAGTAAGCCCGATAAGCAGGGACTACTAACATGTATATGTATAAATTATGTCAAAAACTAGTTGTCTCTATGATAATTTATTTATGTAATTGCAATCAGTGGATTTCAAGTCAAATGAAAACCACTTCACACTTGCATTTCAAATGCACATACATATGTGTATAAAATGCATGTTTGTTCATTGTTGTGATGGATGAATATAATGAAGATTGATGATATTTGTAATATCATAACATATTAATTACACATGTGTTCAAATTTAGAACCTTGTAAATGTGAGTAATGAGTATATAGTAATATTCTAAGATTACTATTCAAAATAAATCATTCATTTTAAGCTTTGCTTTGATAATAATATGCTAAATATATCTACCAATCGAGTCAACAGTTTACATTTTAACATATTTGCATAATATAAATATTTCAAACATATTTCATAATATTTAGAATAAAATTCATCTAATAATTTAAGACAATGAGTTAGGTACCATTAAATTTATTTTTATGTTATCAGAAAATACATTTATTCTAAATATGTTATAGGTAGTGGGTACATAAATACTTATTATTTATAAATATTAAATAATGATATAAATTGTACTATGCAACTAGTATGCAAGTATAGTCTTTTGGCAATATTAATTGCCAAATTATATACGCATTATTGCTTGCTTATAATAATTAATTTTACTTATTTAAATAATTACATAATACATATAAATACAAAATATATCAATTAATTATTAATATTAAAATTAAACAAAATCAAATTAAAAAAAATATTAATTTTTAAACTATTAAGGCATATTATTATGTTATTAATAACTATACATTTCTTATTAAAAATACGTGGAATTACTTTAATTTGTTCATAGATAATATTTAATCAATTGAAAAACAGGATATAGTTTGCAGACAATTAAGTAAGTCTAAATAAAAAATAATTCCACTATACTCTGAAAATATTGTTAATAAACATAAAAAAATGTTATTAAAAAATAATATTATGTATGCATCAATGAAATTCAACAATATAGAATATTTTTATGACCTAACACAAATATTATAATTTAAAAACATTACTATTTTATGAATAAAAAAATATAAATAATATAACCAATAAATAAACTTGTCATGGGTCATCTTAAAAATCCTTCATTAGGACCTCAGGTAAATGTTCTCTGGCCTTAAGTAATGACACAAGTATATTGTACAGGATATTAATTTGACTATAAAATAATAATAACAAATTTACAATTATCTGATAGCATAAATTAATAAATACAACTTTGTATTTCTATTAATTTAAAAATAATAGTAATGCACAAGCAATATTAACATGATAAAAAAAGTATAATTGAACACTCAGAATAAAATATTATTGATATTACTTTTGTAGACACAAAATTAAATATCAATCAATATTATATTTATACATACAATTTTTTTTTTTAGGTTCCTAATTATTTTTACATTTAAATGTATTACTTGTCACAAGCGCACTCATTAAGTATGCATTTAAATTTTTCTAAACTTAAATCGTCTTTAGTACAGTTTTCATCAACTGCAGTGTGCACCTGATGTAACCAAGCTTCACGTGTTTCATGAAACCTAAATATATTTTCATTGTATTGATTTAACTTTTCAGTATTATTTAGTTCACGATAAACTTCTACTAATCCTTGGAAATCATACAGTAATCCCGTGTACTGGCGACCATAGGTAGTTTCATCTACATTAAAATAATTTTGATCCTTATATATTTTGATACTTTTATATAATTATAAGATTTGGTTTAACTTATTATAACTTACATATAGTTTTTGAACGCAAATAAAGTTCTTCGGCATCTCGATATTTTTTTAACTGATATGTGTACAAACTAGCCAAGTGACCTAAAGATAGAGCCACTTCAGGGTTGTCTTTACCTAAAATTGATTCTTTTATTTCAATAGCTTTTAAATGCATTTGTTCAGATTGCTGTAAACATTAACAATTAAAAATTCAGTAATTTAAAGATAAAAATAATTTAAATATTACCGTATATTTTTCCTGGCTTTGATAAAGTCTTCCTAGATTGCAGTACGATTTTGCTGTAAGCAGGGCTTTCACTCCAACTGCTTGTAAAGAAACTTTTAACGCTTTTAAATGGAGAGCTTCAGCTTCATTTAACATGTTCTTCTTCATTCTTTCCAACAAACGCTTTATTCCATCAGCCTGTAAATCTGAAAAAAACCATAATTTTATTCTTAAAGGAATTATAATCATAATTCAACTATTTAAATGTATACTAAACATATAAAAAGTATCTTATTAAAAATATGCATACTTTCTTGAGGTTTTTAATAATAAATTGAACTGGTCTACTAGTAAGTAAATATTAAAATAAAATGCACTCTGATAATTCAACCACTATTGCTGACAAAAGTATTTTTTCTATTTATATTTTTCTTTCTAATGTGGTAAACCAGTGTTTTGCAAGTTGTGGTACATGGAAGACTGTATGGTGGCAGTATGGAAAGCTAATAAATTAATATTTTTACTTATATGGACATATGGTTGTAACAAATCTAATATTATTTTATGTTTTATATAAATTGGTACAAAATATACTGTTAAATGTACCTAAATTATTATTTTTATATATTGTTATTATAAAATATGTATTGAAATTTTGAATAGTTCTATTTTTAGTCATTGGTGGTACACAATATGCTGATTGCCTGATTCATAATACACATAAGTGGTACTGGAAAAAAAAGTATGGGAATATTTGAGGTAGACAATACCTATAGTATATTCCTTTCAGAGAGGAAATATTAGTGCACACAAACTAATGATAGCCGTTCTCGACCGCAAAACCATCTATAATAACTAGGGTTCAAAAGTGAAGGCAACAATATTATAAATGATAAAAATGTACTTAAAATGCAAAAAAGGCATTTTATATTTATAATTTATAAATAAAAAAAAATGTACAACCATATTATTATACTTGAACAAACTGTGTTCAATAAATCATTGACCATTGAGGGTTTGAATTTAAAATATTTTTGTGCATAGAAAATAACACACCCATGTGACTTGACTATGCGAATACTTCCTAGTCATTACAAGTATTTTTAAACATATCATCAAGAAAAGGGTAGTCCACACAAGCTTTTATCAATCTACACCATAAAAATGAGTACAATTATTGTGATAAATTGATAATTTAACACAAAATATAAAGGGCAAAAAAAGCAAAAAAGGCAAAATAAAGCAAAAACAATTACTAACATGCCCATTAGCATAGAAATTAAATGAAACACAATTTTAAATAAGAATTATTTTTCTATCTTTATCCAAAATAAAAAGGCATTTGTCTTTAAATCCAAACCCTAATGATAACTGATTGAAGAATGAGAATAAGAATAGAATGGAGATAAGAAAGAGACCAATAGATTGATCATATTCTCTCGATGGACATAATATAGACATTTCTTAACTAAATTTATTATTTTCATAAATAATTCTCTACTTATAGCCATCAAATGCAAATATTAACACAAGACCGGATGATAACCTACAGTAAATTATGTATGAGAAGTTGATTATAAACTTATAAAGTTTACAGTTTCTTGGTAATTCCAATACATTCTATAAGACAATTTGACACCATTCCTTAATTATCAACATATTAAAGAACACATTAAGTACAATATTGAAAATAAATTATCATAGATTCATAACTAGCAGTTTTACGCACTTAAAATCATTAAAATATGCACAAAATAATTGTATAATCATTTTGTTTTTGTTAAACACAATATTCCAATGTGTATTGTGAATAAATATACAAATACATGTACAACCTTGATCTCTGGTAAATCCATGGTAACTAATATCTTAGTGTTCAATTAATTATCTTTATGCAAATAATTGCAATATTGCATTATTGAAAATGTATTATGAGTTTGAGTAATTAAAAATCAATCATAGGAATACTTGATTCAGTAGACATGAAATATTTTAATACAGACTTGATAAATATGTCAGGTGGACAGTTTTCATCACACTTATCTAATTAATCCCTAGTTTTTAAACTACTCACTATATATTTGTTAAGTAGTGGATCAGAAATACCAAAAGGTTATATTCTGTTTTAATTTGTTTATAGTATTTATTAATTAATTGTAAACTAATGTATAACTAATGTTTTTTAGTCATGCAAATAAATCTTTGCTGATATGAAAATATAATATAAGCAAAGTAGTTCTAGTAGGTAATAACAATACTAATCAACTACAAGCAATATTAAATTATATTTTGAGAATAGCATGAACAATATACCTTAATTAGTTGCAATGCTTATATTTGTCAACAGAAGTACCCATCAATTTTCCAGTATATGATTAATAAAATTAATATAATTCAGGACTTTAAACAGTATTTTTGGTTAATGGCCTAGGTATAACTTTTACATTTAAGCTCTCATTAGATGTAATTTGATATAAACGTAGTATATTGCTTGAAGAATTTTTAATTTAAAAAGTTACTTTTAGGGTTCTAACAGTCTAATTTATTTATTTAAAAATATTTAATTTCTTATAAGTTATACCTATTCTAGAATGGATCAGTGGTACCCATCCCAAAAAATTTAATAGGCAGTTCAGATAAGATTCAAAGCAGGTATTTTTAAACATTTTAAGTTTTCATTTAACTATAGAAGTACAGTTTTCCTGCATTGTCTAGTGTGAACTACCGGTCTGAACGTGGTCAACTTTTAGGTATGAAGTGACCACTGACTAGATGCTGAACAGAAATTTACCTTTAAGTTTAGTTGATGAATTTCTGGTTAACTTGCTTTTCTATCTGGTTTTTTATCCCTCAACAATTTTATATTTTATTTCTATTCAAACTGATGGCGGAAAAACAATTGAGTTAGTGGAATTAAAATGCCCATCTTACAATGTTACAGCTAATATTTCATTTCACTCAGACGTTATAATTATTAAAACAATAAGACCATTAAAACGAAAACTTGAACCTAGCTAGTACTTAGACACATAGTAGTAATAAGGTATAAGGGCCATAAATTTGATTTCAACTTTAATTATCTTTTTAAATAGAGAATATACTTTTTAGTGAAAATAATGTAAATTAATAATTAGTAACTATGTGTATAAGATTTCTCATCTACACATTTATTGATTTAATGTTTTGTAGTGTTTGTATTTCAGTTAACCATTGTTCATTTACCCCTCTGGGGATATTATATGAATTAGTAAATAAATAAAAAATAAATAAATAATAAAATAATAAAAAATGCACAGACCTCGTATACCTTCATGAATGTAAATATCGATACCTCTATCCATTATGTCCAATGCTTTTTCTTCTAGTATCAATGCTTTTATCCGTCCAGCATTTACTAATAACATATTATCATTTGGTAAACCAATTTTTTCCATAATAAATATGCCTTGTAGTATACTTCGCCTAAAGATAGTCATGATCGTTGGATAAAGTTGAACATTTTAATTAGATAACTACACAACAGTAAAAAAATGTATTATGTCTTACATAGCTTCATTAAAATCAGTTGTTGAATAATCGCAAACATATCGAGCATATGCATAATCAACAAAAACGATTGCAGTATGTAAATTGTAATACCCAAATAAATTTCTTCTAGAGTCCAATGCAATCTATAATGTAATAATGATAATATAATTAATAGTATTCTTTTATCATAAGTCCATCACAAACAATTCTTACATAGTAACTATTAATACTATCTTTTGCTAAATCAGCTTTTAATGAGTAGCATGCTTCATTCAATAACATATCAACATAAATGTTCTGATCAATTTCTTTTTCGTAAGTGTGCAATTGATTTATCAATTTTTTTGCTGTACTCAATTTATTCAAAACAGAACAAACTCTAATGGCATGACTTATAACCAGCAGTTTCAAGATATCAGCACTCTTATCCCGAAGTTCATAGACAGCTTTAACTGCCCATGACCAAGCCTAAATAATCACATTTATTATAAAAATATAAAAAATTAAATGTTAGTAAAAAAGTGCCATACCTCATTAAATTCCATTAATACATAGTAGTATTGAGAAACGGCCACATACGCATACGCTATACACAATGTTCTTCCTTCTATTTTTTCAATGATATCGATGGTCTGTAGCATATGTTGTAATACTATTTTAGCTTCATCAAAATTATGGTAGTTTGACACTACTAATAACCACCTAGAGGTAAAAATTATTTTTGTTAAATCAACTATTATTTAAAATGAGTTAATTTGTAATTCAAGATTTTTTTAACTTGGTTAGACATTGAATAATTTTGACCAGTTCTAAATTTCGATCAAGACACACCCATTTTGTAGTTATTATTTTGTATGTATGCGATAAGACTAGAGCACATTCATTGAACCAACCGGCATCGCCAAGAAAAAATCCTATTTTTCAACCACAATTTCAATAGATTTTCAAAATTAAAAATAAATATCTAATTTTACAAACCTAATTTGAGACCTTGCTCAATGTGATGAACATTTATATTGTCATTGTCATCTTCTATTTCTATTTGTATCCATTCATCAGCCAAATGTTGGGGAAATTTAAATCCTTTAATTTGTACACAAATCTAAAAAAAAATAATAAATAATTTATATACATAGTATTATTTATATAAATACTGCTAACTGTTTTAGTTTTGTTTAATTCATATATTACCTGGAAAATAGTGAACAGCTGACTTCGATAATTGGTGACATCTACCAACTTTGAAAACAAAGTTAAGTTGAAATAATTAGAAAAATTGAAACAATCAACAAATTTAGTCTAAAAAAATTCAAAATATATTAAAAATTACAATTAAACTTTTAGTTCTAAAATTATTTTTGAGATATCATAACATTTTTAGTTAAATTAAAAAAAGTTAAACACGTAAGTATTATCTATAAATTAATCATATTATAAATTTTTTAAATAAATTCAAAAATGTACAATATTCAATCATAAAAATACATTTTAATGTGTTTAACTTTTCTAATTCCAAAAACAAAATTAATAAGTTTTTGACTTTAATTTTAAAAAGTTTACAGAAAAATCAATAATAGTTTTGCTGTTTTATTAAAAAAAAAAACAATTTAAATTAGAAGATATAAATCTTAATTTGAACAAAAAATTGAAAATACATAAATAACCGGGTAAATTACTTATAAACAAAATTTTATTAATGTTTACATTTTATTAGAAAAATAATGTAGGTAACTCACCACATGTTAACCTTATATTTTAAGAACATGGTTTACATATTCCTTGGAAATAAAAGTTCTTTTATAATAAAATATTTTTAAATATTACTTTTATTTTTTAGATTAATGACAAATAACTTTCATATTAAGACTTAAAATATTCAAACTATTGATTCAACTATTCAACTTCAAGTTATTAAGAAATAAGAAACATTAGGTTAGGTGACATTGTGACAAATAATAATCTCCAACTTTATTTTGTTTAAACTATCCAGAATCTACAGTGAGTATAGAACATTATGATAAACGTAGAGTAGGTCGTATACTTGGAAATTGGTAGTTTTTGTAAAATATTCATGAATAATAGTACAAATATTAAACGGTTTAACTACAATATATTTATATAATATGTAATAATTTAATAGATTTATTAATTTCATTGATTCTGTGAAACCTCTATTTATGAACATTGGAAACATCTCAATATAAAACATATTAAAAATCCCACTAAATAAATACTTGTATAATATTATTAAGTGAATATAAAAATTAGATTATATAATTTTTTTAAATTTAAACTGAATTAGGAACAAATTTGTACATTCGATAGTATTTTAAGTATTTATTTTGATAATTATTCTTATTTTAGATATTGAATATTAATTCAAGCATGCATAGGAACTCATTTCAAATCTTTGAGAAGACTTGGCTACAATTTGACCTCCACAATAAAATATTAAATTTGTATTATTTTTATTTTAAGTTATAAATTGATTAGACACATATTGGTAGATGTAACCACAATATTATGGGTATTATAGTTTTATTTTTTCCTATGGATGATATTATATATAAATCTCTTATTGTAGGTATTTAATAAATTACTTATAATGACCTGATTATAAGGTATGTTGAGACTTAAATATCTGGTGTGAAATATATATATAAATATATATTTATAAATAAAGTATAATATTTATAAATATATATATGCTTAATAAATGATATTAATTAAGTATGGGATTTTGGCCACAGTGCGACTAGCAACCGGATAATAAGTAAGTAATGTTTGATAATTATTATTTATTGGATGTACTATCTAAAAAGAACTTTTCTCCTGAATTAAGTCCATACAGATTATTATCCTAGCACAAATGTTTATCTTGTCGAAATTTTTTGTATTGAATTTGAAATTGATAGCTGATACATAAGTATAAATATTATAATTTTAAGTTATTGTGATTTTTACTTTTGTTTTATTAGATAGGTACTTACAAAGTACCATATACTGACCTAGTTTATGAGGAACAGAATAACACAACACTACAATAATTAGATAGGCACAATAAAAAAATGTGTTAGTCACTTGTTGTATGGTGGCAAATCCTTCATGAGTTTCAGAACTCATCTGTCTATAAGAGACAGGCGCTACATAGCCTGAATTTTGTAATGACATTTGAGCAATTTCACGTCCTCGATTAATTGAAGAAATCTCACTATCTTTGAGCATATGATTATACACAAACTTTTCGCAACCGTCGTTTACACGTAAGATCTATAAAAAAAATTGACAATTTTATTTTTAAAATATAATTTCCTTTACTAAAGTATTTCTAACCTTCCATATCATTTGTAAACTGATTGATGGTGGTAACCACTTTAACACATTTTGCAGGATTTCTTCGTTCATGGAATCACAAAACTGATTTAATGACTTATTGTAAAGTGACTCAACATTAGGACTAGAGTTACTCATAATGATCTAGAGGATATAAATATTTCAATAAAAAAATATCTCTACTGTATTAGTATACTGTGCACCACATTCAAAACTACTGACGGTGAAACAAATTAGTATATTATTATAATATTATGCCAGTTTGATGAAGTCTTCATTTAAAATTGATTTGTGTATTATTTTCACTTAATTAGGCTAAACTACTACTTAGAACTAAGAATTAAAAGCAATTCGACATCAAAATATTTCCATCTGGAATTATTTAATTGTCTAATGTCTTTATGTCTTGAATCTTGTGTTATCACCGTTACACTTTTATCAGTGACGCTGATAACGATGTATTCTTATATTAAATAGTTATATTTTATAAATTTTATTTATTTTTTACAGTGTTCCTCCGCGGTGTTAAACAAAGATCTCTTAGGTGTTAGGGCTAGCTATAGTAACATTTAACAATAATTGTAACAGAGTCATAATAAACGTGCAATTTTTGGGTCTGAAAATCTATTTTAAAAACCATCTGATGTCTACAGTGTTTGTACTGAATTATTGAAGTTTAAAAATATTGGAGAACGTTTGTTTTAAAAATAATTGTATTTTACATTGACTCAAACGATTATATTTTAATATCTGTCTGGCAAGACTGTAATTATTATTTATTTTGCTGGTTACAGACCTAAAGAAATAGTTATAAATTATAATAATATATTGTCCTGTTTGTATAATACTTAAATACTATAGTAGTTATAGTACGACATTATTATAGACTATTATAGTAGTAGCTAATACCATAAATTGATTATAAATACTAGTATATTATATAATCAAATATCAATACTAATACTTTTAACACTATAATATAATTAGTAGGTAAATAATAACTATATCAGTATTCAGCTACCTTCACAAGCAAAATTAAAAATCCATTACCTATCTGTATACTTAATGTTTTGAATGTTAACAATAAAAGTAGGTACTAGGTAGGTAGGTACATACAAATTAATTTAATTAAATTTTGTATAAAAACGTCTGAACACACGATTTAAAAAAATCGTTCCATAATTGTTGCTTTTAAACAAATAACAATATAGCCAATATGAATCTAATATTGACGGTTATCTATAGACCGAATAAAATATAGAAAAAAAATTAGTGTACCTACCTGAGCAAAATTTATAAGTGGGTATCTAAGCAGGATGATTAAAAAAAATATATAGGTAGCACATTGGATAATATATAACATACCTACCTACATATTATATAATAGGACATTGTATAAGCAGCCAAGCAGGAAGCAAAAATGTTCCTATTTCGGTTGTTTAAAACAAACCACACTTCAGGAATTTCCTTAACACTTTCAACGCCGCTGACGCGTATACGCGGCAACAGAGTTTATTCCATTGGGCCAGTGACGCGTTTACGCGTCAGTAACATGTACGTTTGTATCCGCCATAATTTAATCGATTTTATTTTAATAAACTCTGAAATGTACACAGGCTGTAGACAATAAACTCTAAATTTAAATCTATAATTGGTTTGAGTTTTCGTTATTATTAGATACTGATAATCGTTGTTTTTGACGGCCTTCCCAAGAAAATGTATATGAACGTATACAGGGTGTATATTAGATATATTATTATATTATGAATTTTTCTACTGTTATTTAATAATAGTAACATACTGTATCATGCAATATGGCTACTTTGCCACTAATAATATTGAAAATACAATAATTTGTTTCATTTGGCGTTATATACGATACTACAACGGATGCCTGCAACGCGGCGTCGCGGTATAATTGCTGAAATCACGGGCGGCGTTGAACGTGTTAAGGACTTGGACACTATAGGTATAGTAGGTACACAGCTGTAACAAGAGTGTTGAACTAGAAATAATCTAAAATCATCAAAAGGCAAAAATCACCAAATATATTTAGAAATCATAAATATAAATAATATAATACACGTGGTAGATACCTATATAGGTAATGGGTGTACCTACCGTGTACACAATTAAAACGAAATACACGTCAAATATAGACTAGCTTGGAAATTGGCAATAGTATTATTATTTAATTACCAATAGTTGCCGGTTTATCAAACATCGATAAGGTTAAACATTTATCATATTAAATATTAATATCCATTATGTATGTGTTTAGCACTTGACAGTTGACAGTGAGTTGTCAGTATACCTACATTGTACACAATACATAATATACCTATAGGCTATAATGCGGTTATACATAATATATATATACAGTATACTATATGTATATATACTGTATGAACTACAATTATTATACAATTGCGGTTACAATAACAATGTTATGTACCTATGTAGTCATTTGGACGTGTAGTATGTATACCTATATAAAATATAAATATTGTAGATAGCCACGGGCTACAATAGCTACAAGTTACAACACAGAAATAATAAACCTACAATTATGATTTTAAATAATAGCGAATAAAAAAATAAATACTTAAACGCATTTTTTGTGTGCTATTGCATTTAAATATAATAATTAGTTGTGCAAACAATAATTATTGCATGTGTATATAAAGTCTTATAAAACCATGATATATTTCAATGGCACAATACAATAAATTGTGTATTATTTATTCACAGAGGTATCAGTAGCGTGTCTAGGACTTTTTCAAGGGGGGAACAATTTTGAATAGACATTCAGTATACACATATTAATATATTATATTCATATTATTATATACATGTTGTATTGTGTGCAAAATTTGGTATCTGGAGGGTACCTATATGTTAACTTGGTACAAGCATAGAACAATGTATAAAGCCGCATCCAGAAATTTTTTCTGTGTGGTCTCCAAAACATGTATAGGTAGGTACATAGGTAAATTATAATTTGAGTCAATACTGAATTTAGGTTCTACCTTTTTGTTAAAAATAAAACAAAAAAGGATTCTAATATATCATATTAAAAGATTAAAACAATATTAGGTAAGTTGGTATTTGGAAGTTTAGAAAAATAATTTGATGATACATTTTTGTTCTCTCGTTTACTCATTTTTAACAAATTGGAAGTAAGAAAACGATCTGAGGTGTTTTTCAGTCTGATAGACTGTAAATTATTATAATCATTAATCAATCATAATATTTTTAATTTGCACAAATTGAATATTGTTGTTGTTATTCGTCGTGGACCATCGACCTCCAACCAACATTGATAGGGGGAGTTGTCTATAACAAATATTAACAATTATAAGTATATTATTATAATATTTATATTTGTAACCTACAGACTCTATAATATTTTCATATGGTACAAGACAGTCAATATTCAATTTAATTGGAATTTAACCATTTATTACTGAAAATATTTATGTTTGTATTAAAAATAAATAATTGTTTTAAACATTTGTAAAATATTGATGACATATTTCAGGGATGGGTCCGAACCCTTTAAATTATAGTGGATATACATCTATACTTCAACGAGTTAAACGTACTTAAACTCTTATACTTACGACTGAATAGTTGATAAAATAACATTAAATATTAAAATGATTTGTAATCTTATTGGCAAGCTTTTAAGTTTAAATGCATATATATATATATATATATAATATATATCGTATATTGCAATAATCTACAAGATTATAATATTATTATTAAATATTAATCTAAAATACAAACTCAATATTATGAACAACACTACGTCAACACGCAAGAGTCTTGAAGTCACATACAAAATGGTCTCTAATATTTACATACATCGTTCAAAAAAGAAGTATAGGAGATATATTATTGCATGATTATAATTTATAATTCATATATATTTACAAGATCAATAGTTTAAGTTAAATCTTGAGTTGTCGTTGTTGAAAAATTAAGAAATATTAAGAAATAAATTTAAATGCATGATAAGGTATAGATATGATAAATAATTGAGATAATATTAAGTTGTTACTTGTTCTGTGTTCTGTCATTGACAATTTACATTAATTTTACTAGTTTAGAGCATAGGCGCAAAGTGGGGGTAGGGGTAAGCCCACCAAACTTAGCCGTAGCCACCCCCCCCCCCCCCAAAAAAAAAAACCAAGGACATACAATTTTAAAATGCTATATTGCAATGGTCTGCTTGCCTTCAATATATTCAGCCCCCCCCCCCAAGTCAAAAGTTGAAATTGAGTCTATGGTTTAGAGATATGGGTACCTACCTAAATATTGTATAGTATAGGTAAATAAATTATACTTATATTTTAAACATATGGACACTGGTGTACAGTGTACTGTACACCTATATACATTATAATTCTATATAATATATACCTAGGTATCTGTTATCCACATACATATTAGTGTATATTACCTACCAACCTGAGTAGGTATCAGATATTATATTATATTTAGGTCACCTGGTCACATATTATTATCCATATGTTTAATACCATTGGTTAATAAATATAATACATACTACATCATATTTATAATATACATTAAATAGTAATACGATTTTTGTTCAGTTACATTATTTACAACCATAGACCTTATTTATGTATAGACCGGTCCATCCTATAGGTACCTACCAAATGGCAAATACAAGGGTCAATTATAGTCGTGTACTCGTGTGTGCCGACATGGCGCAATGAATCAGTCCGTTTAGTATAAATATTAAATATATAGTATGAATATTTATACATACATATATGATAAAATATTATATATATTTTGTACATAATATTATCATGTATCACTGTATCAGAATTCAGAGTACCTAACTCAGTAAACGAAAAGCGCTACCTATCTTGACACGGTGGAAACGTGAAGAGGGCCGGTCTATTAGTAAAACGTTACAACTTAAATAATTTGTTATATACCTACTTATATTATGTTTCCTACTACCTAGGTGGCTAGGTAGGTACATAGTGATTAAGTGATATACCAGCAACTCGAGGCCGTATCTAAAATTTTCCAAATTTGATGGTTTCATCGCTTTGATCCAATTACAATATAGTAGGTACCTGCCTATATATCGGTCA